GGGGCGGGGCCCGAGCGGCGCGCGGGGTCACGTGCCCACAACACGCTCACGTGCCGCCGCCGCCGGCCGCGCGCAGGCGCTGTGGGAGCGGGGAGGCCGAGGAGGCGGCGGGCGGTGCTCGGTGCGCGGTGTGCGGGCCGGTCCGGTCCGGAGCCGCTCGGGATCAGCCCCGCCCGCGGCCGGGAGGGCCGGTGCCTCGTCTCTCGGGTGCCGTGCCCGGCGGCTGCGAGGGGGAGCGGGAGGGGTTGACGGAGCTTCCTCCGGCACAAAAGCAGCGCGAGCTGTGGGTGTGTTTTGGGGCTGAGGGTTCCACGTTCCCGCGGTGATGCCCGAGCCGGCGTTTCCTTTCCCGCAGCGCTCCCTCCGCAGCAAGCGGGGCAGCCCCGGGTTTGCGGAGTGCCGGGGGAGGGAGGGCGGGCGCGGCCGGCCCSGCTCGGTGCTGTTGGCCGGACAGTGACCCCGGGGTAGCCCGGTAACGTGGGACCGGGGGGCTCCTCCGCTGCTCTGGCTCGTGGCTGGCTTCCCGCATCCCGCAGGAGTCCGTGACTTCCCGGGGTTTACGCTGCTGCTGTGGCGGGAGGGTTCCTCTGAACGAGGGTAGGGTGGTAAATGCACAGTTCAGGTAAGATCATTTGTATCTCCGATGTTTAATTAATCAAATGTGTAGGTGTTTCTGGAGATAGCTATATTTTTGAATTTGTGATCTGTGAAATCACTAGGATCAAATGCTCAAAGTGTTTTTTTAAGGAAGGAAAATAACATTCCAGATACTCTGACCAAATAAAAATCATGTGCTTCATGTTATCGTCAGCCCTGTATTAAACCTGTGCAAGTCCCAGGCAGAGAAACTGCTGCATTCATAWTGGTCTGGTCTCTCTCCTCCCTGGTTTCTGTTGCCAAACCGTGAGACCTTCTTTATTTTTCTGCCAAATGCAGAACTAGTGCTTTTTCTTTGATTTGCTCACATGAGTAATGTTTACCTCCTGGGAGTTCACTTGCAGCAATTTTGTACAAGTGGGGCTTTGCAGAGCTTGGRTCAGTTGTTCCAGTCCAGCTGTGCATTCCCATTGTCCCTGCCAGTGTGGGAGGGAGAACAACCAGTCTGAACATACAGTTGGAGGTGACATTAACTGCATCAAATATAAGTAGAACAAATGCCAGGTAAAAATAATATAAATAAATAATGGTAAATAAATAATATAAATAAAATAATGGTTAAAAAAAAGTATGAAGAAATTCTGTGCCTTAATAGAATTTTATTAAAATCTTCAAAAAAACTAATGGGACATTGGGACATTCTCATTGCCTTTACAGAGATGGCAGATGCCTCTGAAATTTGGAACCCACTCTAGTTTATTTCTATTCGTGGATTGAATAAATTATTTTCATGCTCTCCAATTTATTCTCTCAGCTGGAAAAAAYCTTATGCTGTTGTGTGGTCATGACAGAGGATTAAAAGTAAGGAACATCTCCTTTCATCTTTGTTCTGTCACCAGTTGCTGTGTAATCCTGGGAGGATCACTTCATCCCTGCTAGCTCAGCTCCTTCATCAATACAGAGAAAACTGTGAAGAGTTGCAGCCACCTGAAGTTTTGGGRAGCTGCAGCAGGTTTACTTGGTCTTGGTGGAAGGAATGCCCAGGRTTCCTGTGCTCCTGTGCTTTTATTAGGATGTGCTGGACTCTGAGTGTTTCTTCCCCTGTGTCTTCATGCTCTCAAAAACAAGTTATGTGGGTTGTGTCACATCCAAATCCTCTGTGATTTTCACAGCCCTTTGGCCTTGTGGACAGGAATGACCTTAGAGCTCCCGACATAATCAGCACTTTACCCACTTACTAACATCTGTTGGAGAATCAGATTTATCAGCCACGGGGTGGAAATGCTCCAAGTACTGTGAGTGACTGGGTCATGGGATGCCTGCTGGGGTCAGTTGTGGCAGCTGGGTGTGCTGGAAGGACCTTTCTTCCCATCCAGTTCAGGCTGGACTACCTGGAAAAACTTCCTTCCCTRTTTAATCTCTACCCCTGTGCACAGTCCCAGTGCCCATCTCAGTAGAACTGGAAAGCTTTGTGAGTAGGAGGCACAGAGAATGGAGGAGTCATGCTCAGAACTGGAGCTGTGGGTACACGGCCCAGTCAGTTTGGGGGGAAACTCTGGTGTTCTCACACACACATATCCCCTGTCTAAAAAAATGTTTGGGCTCTGGATAGGATTTGCATCCAGAATGAATAAGTTTCCTCCTTTTGTTCTCCTCAGCACAGCAGAAAAACCTACAGAAATGCTCAGATAATGAAAAAAATTATTTGGAATCCACACTCTATTGTGGTGCAGGCCTGAATATCTGGAWTGCCTGTTTGTGCTACCATTTTTATTGAATAGAGTAAATGTAAGAGGAAAAATAACCTCTCGTGCTTTTAATCAATGCAAGGAAAGATAAATCAGGGCTTCAGTTTTGTCTTGGTATTAAAGAGCCTTTCCTATTTTTTTTCTGAGAATGGGATGTCAAAATGATATTAGTATTTATGAAACAATATCTCTGCTTTGTGTCCATATTGAAATAGCTTCCAGTTTCTCAGTCTTGCAAAATTTCCAGCACATTAATTTGGCACAAATGATTTATAGCTGATAAGCAATTAAAGTACAATTTCTTTCCAGCATCTTGGGCTACTAAATGATTTTGCAAGTTTGCTCTATCATTACAGAATCCATACAAGGATGAATTCACAGGAGAAATTTATTCCTCCTTGCAGACCCAGCATCTGCTCTCACAGCAAACTGGAGCASTGCTTGCATTCCCCAGATAATTTTCTCACTGTGTCTTTTATAGTCTTATCTTTGGACCTACAAGASAGCTTTAGTCTGAATTTCAGTGACAGTTTACTCTGACATTACAAAGTCCTTCCAAAATACCTGTTCTTACTTTGAGTCTTTGATGTACACTGATGCTTTACTTAGACCTGTCAAGGTATTTCAGAACTAGCAGCAAACAAAACCATTTTTTAAATTATTTTTGTATTTGGAAGGGCAGCTCCCAGAGGCAAGTGTGGTAGAGAAAAATCAGATTAAAGTACTGGCTACAAAGAATCCTCACCTCCAAGYTGTTTAAATGTCAGCAGATGACATTTGGCTAACCATGTCTTGATTCTGCTATAATGGAGGTGGAAAGAACCAGAGGAGCCTCGTGTAGACACTTCACCTTTCAGGAAAGGACATGACAGGTATAGTTGTCAATGCTGCTTTGTTTTGAGAGGAACWAATAGCACGGAAATGAGCAGAAAAGGAGGGGGAAAAATAAAAATCAAGAGTTTGAGTTCTGACAGGGTAGCTGTGAACTACGCTAGGCTATTTGTAAGATCCTTGYGGGATTCCCCTTGATAAACTCAATTAAAACGTGCACTGACCACGTGTGACACGATTCTCTTCACTACCACCTAGTGGGAAACTCCTTCATAACCCAACTCCAGAGCTGCTCCTGCTCCACCCTCACCCTCAGCCTGGTGGCAGAAACAGGGAATAAGTGGTAAAATKGTCATTGGCAAAAGAAACACAGAGAAATGGTAATCTTTTAGTAAAGGAGGGAGAAAATGACAGATGACTGGACAGGGCACAGTCGTGTTTCCACATACAGGCAGGGGAATGTGTAGAGCAAGTCTGTGGTTTAAATCCGTTCTGCCCCCTGGATTTACCACACCACAACTCCAAGCTCTGCATCCAGCCCAGCCCACTGATGAAAAAAACTCAGCTTCCTTCTCAGTAAAATCACATTTTTCAATTATAATCACATATTTACACCAAAGACTAGCACATCAGAACCTAAATGGGTATATATTGGAAACATTAAAACTATGTATTCAAGTGAGTCCTTCCCTACTGAGATACTCAGGGTTTGCACAATAGCTGAAATCCAACCCTATGAAAACAATGCATAAATGACAATTATCTCCGATTTTTCACACTCCTGTGTGCCTTTTGGGACTAAGCTCCCAGTGCACAAATAATAATCAGTTTTGGTACTCATGTAGCTTTCCCCCCCACTAATAGAAATAAAGGTGAACATTATCATAAWAACTCTCACATTTCAAGGAGGGGATTATGTTAATGTCATTCAGGCCAGTAAGGCATTTAGCACTCACAGCAGGAAGAACAGTAAAATGGTAAAGAATTACTAAAAGAACCATTTCTCTGTGTTTCTTTTGCCAATGACAATTTTACCACCCTATTCAGGGAACTATATGGCCTCCCTCTAGTAGTGCATTTATCATAAATATATTTAAGCTTTTTTTCTTTCCCTGTATGCTCCTTGAAGCTACATTACACTGCCTTTATCCCAGCAAATTACTTTATTTTTCATCATGTACGTTTAATAATGGTTATAATTCAGTAAATTAAAACATCAGAGGTAAAAATGGTGTGGATACGGAAGTCAGGCTTTGGGAATCTGTTCTGCCTTCCATGCTGTGCACAGGACTGCTGACCCTTACTGTGGGTTTGCCCAATAAGCAGAGTACAGACCAGTATGTGTAAAATAAGAGTCATGTTCCCATTGTGTACCCATTCATACTTTCATGCAGTGTTCTCAGTGTTAAGTAATTTMACTTTATTAAATACAGGGGAGAAGAGATTACTTTGGAACAGTTAATACAAAACCAAATACTGCAAACATGAGAAAAACAAGCAGGGATCACTTGGTGTCTTCAAATTGAAGTRTCCCCAGTCACAGCTACCAAGATCATATTAATCAGAGCTCCTTGAGAATTAAGTCATGGCCTGGGATATGGTTACAGTTAAGGAAATCAACATACACTAACCATTCACTGGCAGGTTTCAATGAATGGAAAGRTGAAAGTGGGGTAAGTGGGTAAGTTTGTTAGGTTTTCTGATAATTGTCCAGGCCTCCTGTAGTTTAAAATGGACAATTGTAATAGACCAAGGGAAAAAGCCCTTCAGGAAAAAGTGACAGAGAATATTTACCTCCTCCTAGRTATTTGAAAGGTTTCCTTGTTCAGCAAAGCGTTCTCCACATGGCATCCAGTTGTAACTTTCAGGGAGGTCCTAACATACAAACAGATGTTCATTTCTGGTTTTATAGACTTCAAAGTTCACTGGTTTAAAAAAAAAAAAAAAACATCAACAGCTGAAGGTCTTTTCAAGGCAAGCAGAATTAGCAGCATCAGGACTTTTGGGTGCATAAGGAATCCTTGAAACCACATAATATAGACAGATAATTTGTTGCTCTGCTTTCTTCTCTCTACAGCTTCCATTGACAAATATTGCTGTTCTTTGTTTAAACTTAATGGTCTGTGTCCCCATCCCCCTTCAAACATTCGAGAGGTTTATACACCAACAGAATATGGACAATCTTTTAAACAAGAACAGTGGTAATATTTTCCATCTTGGTCTATGTAAAAGAGATTGCCATGCCAAAGAGAAGCAGAAATAAATAACACAGAATGACAGCATCTCCTCTGTCACATATTGCAAGAGCTCCACAATCTGTTGTGTCTGTTTGCAAAGTCCTTGAATTATGAGGACATATCATGCAGAAACTGTATTCATGCCTGGATACTGTAATTACAATTGAAAATTACTGTTATCAGCCAGTAATGTTGTCATGTCTGGGGGGGCGGGAGGGGAATAAAGGAAAACTGTAGTAACAAATAAAATGCATGGAAATTGTATCAACACACTGACAGTACAATGCCAAAAAATGCTCACATTCTTTAAATATTCTTTATTAAGAGTATGACCCAAAAAAATCATCTTTAGAAGCTGAAGATGTCTTTGTACATTAATGTTCGCGTGAAAATATTTTACAATAAATGTTTTTACACGGACTCAGAATTGTTAGACTTTTTCAGCCMCACAAAATCCTCTGTATCCATTAGATCTTTGTGAATGCCCTGCAGGGAGGAGCCATGGTGCTCTGAGGGCAGACCAGATCTGAAATAAAAAGCAAGAGTTAACACAGTCCCACCCGGTGCCTGGAGGGAGGAGGGTCCTGCTGACTCAGGAGCCCGGAGAGCTTGGCCAGTGGTGCCCAGAAGGGAAAATAGGGGCCAAGGTCCTCTGCAGCATTGCCTTGGGACACTGCCCAACTTGGGGACAGCCCCACCAGGCTCAGGCTTGGTGGGAGTGGACAGACACGGGCAGCTGCCCCTGGGAAGCCTCCATTGAGACAACAGCTTTACATCCTCCAAGGAATCATTCACATGACACACTCGTGCATTGRGTCCACATGTGCACATCAAGTTTCTCCCTAATTTAGGCACGATTCATTTGTATAATTTCAGAACCATAAAAGACAATTTCRTCATAAAGACTCCTGGAGAACTGTATTAAGTGACTCCAGATGAGCCAGGGATCATAATCCCAACAGGAAGCAGCAGAACCTCAAAGCAGGGCTGGTATCAAGAAGGGGTGGAGGYAGATGATAAATGGGGACCACAAGCCTGCCCAGAGCACTCACCAGAAGCAGCAGGGAAGTTGATGACAGAGCGGGGATTTTGAGCATGACCCAACTCCCAGGGCTATCCCTTATCAACTATTTGAATCACAAGCTAAGAGGGGCAAGCTCTGCAACCCCCGGATTATGTGGGAACACTGYTCCTGCTCATACATGAGCAATAAACATAGCAAGTTAAAATGGAGGTACCACCTAATATCAGCACATCAAGATACCCAGCAAGCCAAAGCCAGAAGTGAAAAAGTGACTTAAGATTTGATGCTCTGCCACARAAGTCAGCTGGAGCTCCAGAACATSCTGTGAGTCTTGGGAGCATTCACATAAAGCCAGTGGTCACACTCCTCTGCTGGAGGTTGCACAAAGGCCAGTGCAGCTGCTGGTGTGGCCTCCTCTCAGCCCAAGCCTTTGGCACAGCCTGGCACCGGCTGTGCTTCACCAGTGCCAGAGCACCGAGCAGGTTCTGTGATATTCCAGTGGCAGCACCTCGTCCTGAACCATGGGCAGCCAAGCACAGCTCTTCCTTTGGATACTCCACCTCCTTCYTTCTCCAAAACTAGAGGGGCCAGAAGCAGGCCATGCTTCTCCATCCCCCTCTTCCTAATTTTCTTTCCATAATTCACTCTTCCATGCTGCAGACTTTCTATCCCTTCATTTTCCTCTCCTCTCTCGTGCTTCCCTCCCTTTCCCCCTCCCCCTGCTTTCTCTCCCTCTGCACTTTGTGAACCGCTGCGGCAGTGCTGAAGTCCAAAGTTCAGTAACTTGCTAAAGCACACAGATAAATATGAACCTTGGAGAATTTACATTTGCTCCAATGTAAACAGATAGCCAAGGGTCCCTTTATCAGCACTGGCTCAGGACAGTCGTGGGGGGTCTGAAGTGACTCAATTTTGTATTTTGTTTTTTTTTGGGGGGCGTAAAGGCGGGAGGCTGYGCTGTGCCCACTCTCCTGACAGTCGGGCGCGTTACCTCAGGAACATGGTGTAGGGAAGCTGCAAGCAGGATAACCCGAAATTGGAGCCCAAGAGACACCAGGCTGAAGACCATGGTCTCCAAGCTGACTCATCTGCAAGTGGAGCTGCTGGAAGCGCTGCTGGAGTCGGGGCTGAGCAAGGAGACCCTGATCAAGGCACTGAGCGAAGCGGAACCCTACGGGCTGCAGAGTGAGAGCCAGCGCGCCATCAATGCCCTGCAGACTGAGAAAGGGGAGCCCTGTCCCGACATCCCCAACCTCCCCAACGGAATGGGGGAGTCCAGGCTGTCAGAAGATGAAACCTCAGATGACGGGGAGGAATTTACCCCTCCAATAATGAAGGAGCTGGAAAACTTGAGCCCTGAGGAGGCTGCTCACCAGAAGGCTGTGGTGGAAAGACTATTACAGTAAGGACAGATTTACTGCTCCTCTTTGCTGCTTTCTTGCGCTCTCCTTCTAAATCTCTTTTCCTTTCCCCTTCTCCTCTGTGTTTCCAGTACTCACAATTGATCTAGCTGAACAGAGACAGTCTTCATTCATGCCAGGACCAACAGCCCCCAAACACCCCCAAATGCTGTAAAAATGCTCAGGTTTTCCTTTTATCTTGCTTAAAATGCATGAAGGAAGCTGTGGAGCCTGATTACATATTTGATGTGCTTATAGCATCTGGATTCAGAATAGTCCAAGGCCTGTRTAACTCCCATCTCTCTGACTGAATGCTAGGGTTTAGGATTTAAATTTTTATTAGAATTCACAATTTCAGTCATCAGGAAAGAAAAAAGTCCTGGTCACTCTGAGCTGGTGATATATTTGTATGAATGATAAAGTGAAGTTGTAACATTTTCCTGCTATATTTAAGGAGAATTATACCCTTAATTTCACTGGGGTTTGCTATAGATTATTGGCCAAAGATAAATCAAGAGACCTCATCCTTATCATTCTTCTGAGTGCGAAGTTCCCTGACTTCAGTGGGGATTTTTTCTTGTAAAAAGAGCATACACCAAATATATGCAGAGGTTAAAACCTGGACAGAACACTCTGCTTCTACCATCCACTGCCTGTCACAGTTACAAAATAGATACGCAGCAACAATTACAGGATTTATTGCCACAAATTTGCCTTTGTACACAAGCATTTTTGAGATCAAAAGACAGGAAAAGTTCCCTGAACCAGTAAGCCTCACAACAGACTCAGAGAAACATTCACTCAGTTTCCTATTTGGTATTCTTACTGGGATACAATCCCCATGGAAGACCCAAGAGGTTTGCCCAAACAAGCATCAGGCCCATTCTACCATCTAAAACAACGGATTCTTGCCTGTTTTGGGGCTATTTTAAAATGACAAGCTGATRGAAGACAGAGGTGCAGAAACGTTTTGCACTTAAAATCTTCACTAAAAATCCACCTAAGGAATTTCTCAGACTTTCTGATCACATGCAAAGGAAATCAACAGAAAACGTAGCAGCAGAGCCAAATATCAAATCCCACCACAAAAGGCCAGAGCTAAAAAAAGAGCATGACAGGAGTCAGCATTCACTGTAAATACTTAGAAAAAAGCTCCCTGGCAGACTGGGAGTTGATGATTCTGCAGAACCCAAGAGACAAAAATTCACTGGATCAGCTCTTACCTGGGTGGGGAAACCATTCCCAGGAATTCAGTCTTCTTCCTCGCCCAATATATTTCTCATTTCTTCCCCATTTCCAGCTCTGCCACATCTTTAAATTTTCTCTACTTCCTTTACCTCTTTCAGATTCATTTTACCTATTTCCCTTCTCACCTTACTATTGTTTCTACTGCTGTTCCTCCCATTTTGTTGTCTCYTTGGCTGATTCTCTCTGTGTCTCCCACTCTTTTTCTTCCCCTCATCCTTGTCTCCTTCTCATCTTCCTGAGTCTGCGTACAGGTCTTGGGGTAGTTTGAGCCCAGTGGCACCGGGCGGGCCCTGGCTAGTTACTAATTATCCAATGGCTTTATTATTTCTCTTTTGTCTTATAAATTTATAGATGAAAAGACCCTGATAAGCTTTTTGATCATTAACTTTTGATGGTTAATCAAGTATCTCTCCAAAAAGGAAGCCATGGAAGTTGGGGGAGACCCCCTGGCTCTGTCCCTTTTTCTCTAATGAATGGGTGAAGCAGGGCTGAAGTGCCATCCACTGTAACCTGAGACACACGGATGGAGGGATTTCCTTCCTGTCACCCTCACCTGGGCACCGTTTCTGTTTTCTGATCCTCCCTGCCTTTCTAGGATCTTGCTGCCAGTCTTCCCCGTGCTTATCAGCCTCATCACAAGTCCTGCCTCTCTTCCAAAACYGTGACATTAATACTTTCTGATGAACAGCCAGAGAGTCCACTGAGCAGTATTTCCATTTCACAAATGGAAACTGAAGTACAGATAAATTCTAGGACCTACCTAAACCCCTGAGAAAGCACAGAGGGGAATGAGCAAGGACAGGGATCTCCTAAGCCTCACAYTGGCTCTTAATTACAACAGCTTTACTCTGAAACATCAGAGTTCTCTGTCATCAGTCTCCCYCAGCACAGGATAGAGCAATTATCTTCTGCTGTTGAGGACAGTATGAAGGAGCAGAAGCCTCAGTTTCAGCAAMAGATTACAAGAACACTTATGGAGGTCTATAATAGATCAAAATTAATCAAAATGAAAATAGTAGGAGGTCTGCATTGACATGTTTCACATTTCTCATCAGAGCAACAATGTGTCTAAAAATCTATTCAAAGCATCTGAACCACKATCAGGGGCTGAGAACACCCTAAAAAGTTATTACCTACTAATAAACTYTTTTTGGTTTTAAGATCAAACCTTTCTATTAATAGATGCCTAAAAGTATTGTCCTTAAAATAGTGTTACAAGTATTGTAAGGCAGGGCAGAACAGTYTATAACAGAAATTACTTCYAGCAATGGATAAAAGAAAGGCAGGYAAGAATCGCCATGCCCRGGGATTCCCAGCAAAATGTCAATGCTTGTAAAGCTATTTCAGCATCTACACRAGGGTCTCAAATGCAGAAACCAGATGGAGGCAATTCTGCCTTTAGACAGAAGCCTCTGTGGGCATTATTCACAATTCCTGGTCTAATACTGCAGATCAGATTTTAACAGAGAGATTGACTTGTGGGCAGCTGTTGCTGATACAAGAAAGTCTTTGTGGKAACTGCAGCCATTGCTGATAAAGTRGAAWCAGAAAAAGTGTCCATRATTCAGCTTCCCAGGAGCTGGAAAGAGAAAAACTTGACAGCACTAAGACACCAACTATGTCCTCACAGCACCACTTCAGTTGAAACCACACTTTGGAAAGCTCTGGTTGAAGCTGAATAAAACAGGGTGTAGAGAAGATACACCCACAGGATTGGGTGCACCCATGGGTGTTGTTTAGATTTTGTCCCTACAGAGAAAACTGCTCAAAGCAGCTCAGATAAAGGTTTCTCTAGTGAGGGATTAACATAATTTCATTTTGCCCTTTCATATGTCTCACTGATCGCCCATACAGTTTGAATAAAAACATTCTTTCCATATCAATCCACACAGAAAACAAATTGCATCTATGATAAGAAATAAATGACTCAGTAGGGAGGTAGAGCTGTGTGGAGAAACTCCCAGATATTCCCAGAATATAAAGCAAGAAGGAGGCTACYTTGGGGGAAGGGACAGATCACACTGCTGCAGGTAAAGCAAACGGAGAGAGGTAAAGCAACAATCCACCTGTAGGGCAAGGGGTGAAATTCCATTAGGAAAGAGAGAAATTGAGATAAGCAACAGATTTCCCCTGGAGGCAGGGATAAATAATGTTTTCCAGGAGGAAAAAGAAAACAAAGATATAAAATGACAAAGGTTCAGTCTTTTCCCCCTGCTTAGAACAGCTCTAGATGGGGAATCTGGAGATGAGGCTGCCACACCCCTTTCATTTCCACATATAAACCAAGATGAGGCAAACCAGGCCAAGTTCAACAAAAAGGAACACTACCAGGATGGATGGTCTTACCTTCCCTCTGCCTAGCCCGGCTYCAGACCGTGCMCTGGGGTGTGTAGCAGCTCCAGAGKAAAGGGCTGGAGCAAAATCCTGAGCTCTTCACAGCTCTGAACCTCTGCTTGAGCAGGTTCTGGTCCAAGGCAGCAATTCAGAACCCAGCTCAGGGAAATAAAGGCTTCTCTCACCTGAGAATTAGAAGAGGAAAGAAGGAGAGAGAGAGAATGAGGAAGAGGAGAAAGAAAAGAACAAAAGAAAAAGAAAGAAAAGTCAGGAAGAGTGAAGGAGGGAGAAGGTCCCCTGAATGTTACATCTCCAGCTCTCGGGAATGGGTTTTCTTTAATGCTAACAACTTGATATTTACTTTCCATTTAAATTTGAGATGTTGCTATAAATTATCAACCAGCCTCTTGTTCCCTTTGAGTTTATAACTAACTACCTGGGTTACTTATTGTTCAGGTAACAAAAGCGAGGTGAAAACGCCCTTAAAAAGTGACCTCAGAAGGAAGAAAATGGGAAGCTGACATGGACAGAGRACCCCTGCCCTGTGGTGGGGAAGAGCCATGGAGGAGGGCTATGCTCACATGGCAATAAGAACTGAGAGCAGGAGTGCAAGACTTCAGAAGGAAGTAAAAGCCACCTGTGTGAGACAAATTAAGAGGCAGATATTAAACCCTGGAGAACAAGACCCTGGGCAGACAGTTTGCATCTGGGGAGAAAGGGAAATAAAAAGGCAGAAAACAGTCTTGGAGATAGGGAAGGAGAGCTTGAGCAAGGCAGACCCATTTGTGCAGGTCTGACTCACTGAAACAATTGAGATTTGGCTGTAACAAGCACGAGAACTCAGTTTAGAGTGAAATCCTCCCTTCTGACAGGCAATGACAGTCAATGACAGTGAAAGAGCARAGGCTTCAGCTTCTGCTGTCTTAGGCAGTGATGGAGGCTCTGCAGGTGGAACAGGCATTTGGCAAGGGTTCAGCCGACCAGACTGTCATCTCTTGGMCTCTGGTGCAGCCTTGGGCCTAAAGGACTTGCTGCATTGATTTTGCAGACTGGCCTTTGACAACATACAGAGCAGCCAGGATTTCATACAAYTGTCCTAGGAAATCACACTGCACTAAGATTCCCTGCACTATTTTGCATCACAAAGCTCCCTGCTTTGTTCAAAAGAAGACAAAACCCACAAGTCTTTAAACATTGTAAGAAGAGGCTCACAGTCACTTCCTGGTTTATTCCCACCACAAAGAAGTGAGGATCTCAGCAGGAGAGACAAAACCCACTCGACTGGGRTGCAGAAAGGAACTAACACATAACAAAGGCTTCCATCAATGGCAACACAGTCTTTCCTGTTCCTATCTGAGCCAGAACTCAAATCTAAGAGACCAAGTTGCCAGTCAGTCTTTTCTCCTCTACACAGGGACATGGGCAATGAATGCAAGGTGCAGGTGCTGGCCAGACTATCACAAGTACAAAGGCAGGAGACTGAGGGAAAAAAAGAGAAACAACATACTGAGGAAAGAAAAGCTTTCTTAAATCAGCCCAATTTGAGGCTTTTGAAAGACAAAGATGGTTAAGGGAAGKTGCTGAAAACCAGAATCCTCTATGGCATGTGCCCCAATGTAAAAGAGAAACATTTCTATTTTAAGCAGGTTCTTCARAAAGCTGTAACTGACACCATTTGTGTCACACTTTAACTGCTGTGGAGCTTGGTCCTTGGACYAGGCAGCCAGAGGGAGAGGGGCTGCAGGGGAACAGAGATAAGGGTGTTTGTACTGAGAGAACAGGTGTGGACTTTGTCCTCYTTATCACTGTGCAGCCTCTGGCACCCTCCTGAGTCAACAAAGCAGTGAACAGCACAGTTGGTGCCTGTTGCTCAGACATGTGTGCCCTTGTGACAGTTTCTGCACCACCCCAGGTACCTTTTTTCTCCCCAGTGCTCCTTTGATGCTGGTGTTGAATGTGACACCAGTGCCTTCCTACAGCACTGCAAACCATTTCCTCCAGACATTTCACACAGARGGCACAGAAGGATGCTCTTGTCAAAAGTGAGCCAGGGGCTGTTCTGCAGAGGGGCTCTGGCACTGTTTGCATTTACACTGACTGGTTTCATATCTTTATTTCCMCTGTGCCTTCCAGCTGTGGTGAAATCAATACACATAACAAAGTCACAACCGTTTTTGCTCTATTTTCCTCAGAAACCTTCATGGATATTCTAACTGGAGATCATAAAAAACAGAGATTCACATTAATTATACAATCTCAAACTCTTTCTCAAATTTTGTGAGCAGGACTCAAAKAGTTCCATTCCCTCAGCTGCCACGTAAAGGAGTGTGGCAATAGGAGAATCAGTGGTTTGTCTGTAGTTCTGTATTGCATTTAGAAACATTGAGTAGATCTAGGTGTGAATCAAAGTGTTTGAGTAACACGTAGCAGATGTGTAAGAACATAATCTGGATGATTTGTCATATATATATGCATAGAGAGCTGTCATGTCACAGTATAATGACAGCCTGTTTCCATTTGCTGAATCAGTGCAAGGCAACCCAAGCTGGTTCAGAACCAGGGCATGAGTCAAGTCCAATATCACAATCAATCTGTCTTGGACAATTTAGTACATCTATTCCATCTGCCTTAAAGAGAGGAGCGGGGTAGAGAAGAAAAGTTATCTAGGGAAAGGGAACAGAGAGGTTGCCTCTGTGTATTGGGAAATTCCCCTGGTAGCTGAAGTCTCTTCCTGAGGGCAGCCTGAAGTGCGTACAGAGAGCATTTCAAGGGAAGGCAGTGCTAYATCTTTTGCACTTTATTTCCAATGCCATGCAGTTTTACCCTGAACACAGAATCRAAATGGAATGAGGTACCACACTGAGGAACAGCTTTCTCCCCTGCAGCCAGTGAACACTCTGGCCTCACCAAACATGAAGGTGATGACTGACGAGTGGCCCTCAGGAGGAACTACTGCACATCCTTGGAAACCAGGTCTGCTGACAGCAGTTGTTTGATCTCTCTCCCCTGAGAAATRTTTTCTGTTCCTTCCAGAGAAGATCCCTGGCGAGTAGCAAAAATGGTGAAATCYTACCTCCAGCAGCACAACATCCCTCAGCGTGAGGTGGTGGACACGACTGGTCTGAACCAATCCCACCTCTCCCAACACCTCAACAAGGGCACTCCCATGAAGACCCAAAAACGGGCAGCCCTGTACACCTGGTACGTCCGCAAGCAGCGAGAGGTGGCTCAGCGTAAGTATGGCAATAAATGCTCTCTTGTCTCAGCTTCTAAAGGCCTCGGCTCTCCCTTGCTCATCTTTACTCCCTATTGTCTTCAAGGAAAAAATCCCCTTGTCCTTCTGTGCCCACAGAATTCACACACGCTGGCCAGGGTATCCTGACAGAYGAGCCCATGGGAGATGATCTGCCCACCAAGAAGGGAAGAAGAAACCGCTTCAAGTGGGGTCCGGCCTCACAACAGATCCTGTTCCAAGCCTATGAGAGGCAGAAAAACCCCAGCAAAGAAGAGAGGGAGGCACTGGTGGAAGAGTGCAACAGGTAAGGGTGGGTGTGTGGCTTTGAAGAAGAGGGGCACAGCACGGTTTCTCTCCATTCTCGGTGTTTGCTGGTGCCAGTGGGAGGCAGGCCAAAGGTACAGCACTGGTGTCACACTGACACCAGCCATGCTTGAATTAAATGCCACAACTAAACATTCCTTAACCACAGAGCACAAGGAATGCCTCCTCTCTTGCAGGACCCTTCCACACAGCGCTCCAGACCACTGCCACTTTGGAGCTGTGAACCTAATTTGTGTCTGACCAAACCCATCTCAGCAAAGCTTCTCTTATGCTTTCCCCAACAGGGCAGAGTGCATTCAGAGAGGTGTTTCCCCATCTCAGGCCCAGGGACTGGGCTCGAACCTGGTGACAGAGGTCAGAGTTTACAACTGGTTTGCCAATCGCAGGAAGGAGGAGGCTTTCCGGCACAAGCTGGCCATGGACACCTTCAGTGGACCACAGCCCACCTCTGCCCCTCCTCTAACTCCCCACAACTCTTCCTCCCTCCAGCCACCACCTGCTCTCTCACCCAGCAAAGTTCATGGTAAGAAATAACCAGAGGGAGATCTGAAAGAGGGCTGAACMTTCCCAAACTCAGTCACCCAAACTGTCTCCCAAGTCCAGCTCCCTAGCAGATGAATCTACAGAATAGAAAGAGCAGATTTGCTACAAGGCAAGAGCAAAGGTGACAGAGACCATGTCTCTGAGTGAGGACAGTGACTAGAATGTCAAGGGTGATAAAATTCAGTAACAGAACCCAGATCCAAAGCTTCTCACTTACTGTGATGGCTGACAGCAATCCCAAACTTCTGTTCCAGGAGTCACTGCTGCCTATCAGAAGTCAGTCCATACCCTTTCAGCCAYGTGTGCCCCTTGCTCCTTTCAATASCAGCCCCATCAGACTCTGTGACTGAGTTTTCAGGCATGAGGAAAGGTCATTCTCCATCCAAAAAGAGCAGAGCTTTTTCAGTTTCATAGRCCAGAGCTGGGGGTTGCTCTTGCTCTGGGAAGAGAGGATCTCACTGAGACTCCTCTCCACAACCACATCCAGAAGGGTGGTTTGCAGTGAACCCTTCTTGCTCCCTGCAGCCCTCACAGCCAGGCAGTATTTGAGGAAGCAGTTACACCAAGTTACAGGGGAAAGCCAGGGCAGGGTGTGAGAATGGCTGTTCTTCAGGTTCCCCTACTGCCCATTAAGTATCTGTCCAAACATCGGGGGACAAGTGTCTGCAAAGGAAACTGAATTTAGTGCCTGCCTAAGTTTCTCAGTTTCTCACTTGTGACAACCAATTTCCCTCCTGTTGTAATGCAGGAGTGAGGTACAACCAGCAGCCAGCCAGTGAGGCAGAATCCTCCAGCAGCAACCACCACGGGAACAGCTCCATGGTGACCACYCAAACCATCCTGCATCAGGTTTCTCCCCCTGGACTGGAGCCCAGCCAGAACCTACTGAGCACAGACACCAAGCTGGTAAGTGATGATACTTCAGTTCTCCTGACTGGAAGATGTCAGGCCATCTGCCTGTGGTCATAACATGAACTATTCATAGGCATTTTTTTCTAGAGTGTTCTTAAACCCACCTTCTTAAGTTATATAGTCATATGTAACATGTTTGACTGTTACATAATATGTTATGTTACAATATCTTACATTAGAGTGACTTTGCACTGACCATGTAAGAGCAACAGTCCTGAGATACATGTGCCCTCTAGACYGTGGGGAGGGCAGGTTTTACAGCATGAAAGCAAGAAGCCATTTCCTTAGGAGCAATTAAAGCAGTCTGTTCTGGAAACATAGCACTCAATGTATGACTTGATTTCCTTCCTCCCAGGAAACCCTGTTCTCTCCTTTCTGCAGAGATTCTTATTTCATCTCCAACTCTCATTTGAACTCTACCCATCCCAAGAGAATTGATTAGGCCAGTGGGATTACCAGAACACAGACCCATACTAACATTTATCTTACCTGTGAAAATGAAGCCCAACAGCCTGGATATAGATGTACTGTGTAACTAGATTGCCTCCTCAAAGCTGATTTCATTCTCAGATCTGATCAGACCTCTTCCCACATAATTAACAATGAAGCACCAGAACTTCATGACTGATCATTTTCAGTTTGCATATATTCCTTTGCTTTCAGAATARCAGTTGGCAGAAGTTTGCATTAGCACAGGCTGGCCTGAGGCAAAGTTAAGGTCACTAAAAATAAGTATGATTTAAATCTCATCRGTCACTCACTTGGCTTGGCCTTCTGGTCTCTTGCTGAAGAAAGAGTCTTTCATGAGGTCCTGAAAATCATCTACACCTGTCTTCTAAAACTGGTATCAAGGTGGTTTGTCTGACTGCTTAACCTCTTGTGCTTATTCTTACTAAAGATTCCTTACAGCTTCTTGTCTGAGGGGAGAGAAAAGAAGCATAATAACTTTCTCTATCAGCCAAATTACTGGAATGCTTTATTTGCTCTTCCACAGTACTGTGACTCCAGGTCCCTACAGAAATGAAGAACTCCTGAATTCTGGGCTGAACTCGGCCACTAGAACTATAATCTGAGCCTCTTAAAATTTTAAATGAGCACCACATTCTACCCTCAGCTATGAAACAGAAGATGATCTTTCCTTATGAAGATTGGGCAGTGTGCCTACTCTCATTCTTGTTTGAACAACCCTTATGATTTCTTAAACTGAAAGAATTAAACCAGCAGGGATTTACTCACAGTATGTCAACAGCTGACCCATGTTAATCGAAGAGCCCAGGGAAAATGCAGACAAGAATATGTGAAGCTTTTCTAGTTGGAAAGGGGGCAGAGCAGGCAGGAAGAGAGGTGTTCATCACAGGAATGTGCAGGCAGCACGTTCAGGCTTCTCCTTTCCCACAGGTATCAGCTCCTGGAGGAACTCTCCCTCCTGTCAGCACCCTGACTGCCCTGCACAGCCTCGAGCAAAGCCCCCACGCACTGAGCCAGCAGACCCAGAACCTGATCATGGCATCCCTGCCGGGGGTCATGGCCATTGGGGCTGGTGAGACCCCGTCCCTGGCACCCGCCTTCACCAACACGGGAGCCTCCACCCTGGTGATCGGTGAGTAGGGCTGCAGTGCTTCCAGCACTCACAGCAAGAGCTGTCTCCAAGCRTTACAATTACCCTGTTTTCAAAGCCTTATCACTAACTTGGCAGTGATACAAAGCTGAGGAAATTGTCACCAAAAACCAACAGCATTGATACTTGCAATGGCATTAAGGACAGATGTTCCCAGGTCACGTTAGCATTAAGTTACACACAAACCCAGGCTTTAAGAGTGAGGGACTTTTACAACCCATTCCTATGTCAATGTTTTGGTTTGTTGCTCTTCATCTTTCCAAATATAAATATAATACTTCCTTAAAATGATGAAAATTGCAGCATATTCATAGTGCTTGAAAGACAAAACATCCTGTTTGACTTCCTGCAAAGAGCAGCATATGCCTTTGGAATCCACAGCAGTAATTACTGGCTTTTTTATATTTTTACTTTGACAGCTTTTCTGGACTTCTATGAGATTTTTTTCATTTCAAGACTAGTCTACTGCCAAAGTGCATCTCATTAGAGAAAGGAAAATAAAATGCATACTCTTCTCTTACAMTTTCTTCCCAGGAAGAAAGGTCTTGTTTTGCTCCATAGTGACGGCTGTGAACTAATTTCCATTTCCTCCCAAGATTATGATACAGATTTGAATTCTGTGCAAACAAAAAAAAAACCAAAAAAAAACCTGGAGCGTCGGAGATCTGTTGATTTACAGGAATAGGGCCTGGACAGCTGTGGGAAATGGGCAGTAATATGTGAAACCTTCTCCCTCTCTCACTGATTCAAATTTCTTAATTTGGCAGCCCTAGCAAAAAGATTAAACTCCATTCCACRTGGCTGGACAACTACGGCCTAGTTCTCTCTGTTGTCAACAGCTTCATAAATAAAGAGTAAAATTAACTGGGCATGAGGTGATGCTCTGAATTTACTTCWGAGCAAGGTCTCCCTGGTGATCACTATATGGGTACACAAAGATGTAGACAGGAACACTGGAAACCAGAGGTGGGTTTATGCAGTGTACATTTTGCACATTTCCACTTCACTCTCACAGYCRTGAAACCTGTTCTTAACCACAGACAACCAAGGTAACACCTGAAAAGCAGGATCTGAATACAGCCTGCAGTGACGGGCTGACTGTTTCAGCTGTTGCAGAGCAGCCACACTCCTCCCACAGTGTGGCACACCACTGCCATCAGTCCTTGTTTTCCAGGCCTGGCCTCAACCCAGCCCCAGAGTGTTCCTGTCATAAACAGCATGGGGAGCAGCCTCACTACCCTGCAGCCTGTCCARTTCTCCCAGCAACTGCACCCATCCTACCAGCAGCCCCTCATGCAGCAAGTGCAGAGCCACATCAACCAGAGCCCCTTCATGGCTACCATGGCCCAGATACAGAACCCTCATGGTAAGAACATAAATCCATTTGCTCAAGTAAACAAAAATAAAGACACTGTTCTGGAGCATTTGCTGGGTCCTTGCGCTTACAGCACTCTGATTTCCTCCTCTGTTATTGTYGCTCTAATTATGAAATTATTTTTCTATTGCATCATCTCCCTGTCCCTCCACTCYCAGCATTTTGCAGACAGACACTAGGTCSCCATGAAAGGAGGAGAGCAACTCARSCAAAGCTCCAGCATCCACATGATCTTGTTTTCTTTCACGTACAGCTCTCTATGGCCCCAAGTCTGAAGTGACCCAATACACACACGCAGGTCTCTTACCACAAACCATGGTGATAACAGACACAGCCAATCTCAGCGCCCTGACCAACCTGACACCAACTAAACAGGTAACAGCCTTTATTTAGCCTTTGCTCTCCCACCTCAGAGCTGCACCAGGCTGAGTGCAGATCCTTGCTTGTCGGAGTTTTTGCGAGTGTCTATGCCATCCCAGCAAGAGCATCCTTCTTATCTCCTGGTCTTGCTGGTACCAGTTGCAATACTGGAGGCACTAGAGCAAGTTCTTGACTGCATTAAGCAGGAGGATTTAACCTCCCCAGAAACTGCACCTGCTCAACTCTTCTCTCACCTGTTAGAAGGGATGCAGAAGCCAGGTACTGTTAACTCCTTTTCTTCTAGGCATTCACACCTGACTCAGAGACCCACACCGAGTCTGGGATGCACACACCAGTKTCACAGGCACCAACAATCCACCTACAGAACCAAGACACAACCATCCAGCACCTGCAGCCAGGCCCACGCCTCACCTCCAGCCCTGCTGGTAAGAGCAGCAGCCACTGTTGTGGCTCTTAAGCCATGTATTGCCCAGTTTTCCTTGCCAACACTGTAAAATCCAGTAACAAAATGGTAACTGGGGCTCACAATTCCCTAAGAGGGCTCTGCCAGTGTCCTGAGAAGTTTGAAGTTTGCTGGAAATGGGGGGTGGACACACACAGTAAGGGAGCTGATGAGAATCTGTACTTGACTTTGTGCCTTTGACAGTGTCCTCCAGCAGCCTGGTGCTGTACCAAAGCTCCGACTCCACCAACAGCCACAGCCAGCTGCTGCCATCCACTCACAATGTCATTGAGACCTTCATCTCCACACAGATGGCATCCTCCAGCCAGTAACCAAGACAAGCAGCTCATGAGTGCCACGACCACCTGCCAGGTGCAACTGCAGCCGTGTTTGCCACCACTGTGCCACACAACCCCTGCTCAGCTGCCTCCAGGAGAGAAAACATCTCAGGCTCAAGAACAGAAAAAATGGAAAGATGACGCTGGCAATGCCAAAATCCACTGATCCCTCACCAGAAATAGCAAACCTAAACCCCAGGAGCAGCTCAGAATGGCTAGACATCGTTTTGTGGCTGTCCAAGAAGGAATCCCAGGGCATGGATGGGACCCTCTTTCAGCTTAGCTTTCATCAAGCTGGGCCTGTACAAACCTGCCAACACCAGACTAAACCATGTAAGAARGAGCAATACTGAGCTGCCAAAGAAGGGACATCACCTTTAAACACTCTCCTCCATTGCTGCAAGGAAACACCAACAAAASTATGAGAAATAACAGCACCGTGGAGGTTCCTGACTTTGCAATGAGAACCACCAAGRAACAGATTTGGGAGTGGCTTGGCACAGACCTGTCAGTATGGGATCACTGACAAGCTACAAATCCATTAACTACCAAAATACCAAACATTCTCAGTTAAATATGACCTGCTCTAAAATCATGCTATCCTAGTGGAAATGGCTTGGTTGTTTTTGATATAGCTCTGCTTTGTTTTAAATGCAGAAATTAAAGTTTAACAGCTGCAAAGAGATTCCAGTTCTCTGCATTAACCCTGTGGATTCTAATCTTGTCTGACTTGCTGAATGGTTTGCAGGATCCTGACAATGGTCCCTGACAATGCCCAGCACCTGGGAGGTTCCCATGTTCCACAAAGAGTAGAGGTTCCTTCCATTTTCTCTATAAACACTCAGCAAAACAAAGCAAAAGGAAATATTTAGGCCACCATGCATTTGAAAGCCCAAGTTTAAACTTCAGTACACTGAAGTTTTAACTGCACACAAGACAAGTAATTTCTGCTGATTTCCCAYACCCAACGAGCACCAATTCACTACTTTGGTTTCTCTAATCTGGCTTTCTGGTCTCCTGAAACCCAACAATCTTAAAAACAGGAGTATTCTTCAGTAACAGTTAATTTCTTGAAAAACTGGAAGTGAAGTATAAATAGACTAAGAGTCATACTGAAAACTATCAAACCTCACAGTATTTCAGAGAGACAAAAGTCATTAACCAGCCCAAAMAAGGACTGAAAGGTGATTTTTAAATTAGGCTAAAGTCCTTCCAGTAGTAATTTCATAGCACTGATTACCCAACAACTAAAGAGCCATCCCAGGTCACCTCTATTTCTGCCGGGGAGAACCTGAATACAGCAAAAAAGCCACTGTTGTACAAAACCTATCAAATTAAGTAAGTCCAAAAGTGTAGCAAAATTTAATAACAGATGCCATAAAAAAAAACTATACATAAAAAGAATTTTCAATGGTCACAACTGGAACAGTAGGATGGATTTATACCAACCCTGAAATCAGCTCACCACACACTGTTCATGTGCAGGAGCCTGGAGAGGTGCAGATTGCAGAGGGATTAGTTACACAGCAGGTTTCAAAAACAGATTGTTATGATGATCGCWGGGAAAAAATAAGGGGCCTGATTTGTGACAGGATGCTTTTGATAAATGAGTCTCCCACGGGCTGGAGCTATTCTTAGTAGGCRTCTGCAAGGAGGCAAAGAGAAAACAGAGTCCATCACCTGTTGCCATGTAAACCAAATTCAATTCATCATATGCTTTCTCCAGGAGGGTTTCATGATGTGAAGGAACAGACCAGGAGGGATGCAGCTATGATTACATCCCACTGCCAATGCAAGTCTGGCACAGTATTTAATCCTTTTAGACTGGGCCTGCATAAACAGCAGCACAGACAACTGCTGTGTGAGGAGAACAATGTTCCCTTCCTCAGGGATGCCAACAGCACAGGAAGTCACTTCATTAGTCTCTCAGGCCACTGAGCTTTGAGAACAGAAGCTTTGCCAATTAATTTTCCCTCATCTGCAGCAACTGTTGTTAGGTTTTCTTTCATGCTACTTCATCCATCACAACCACCTGCCATTTGCAGAGCAAAATCATAATTCTTTTTTCTTCTTCTTCTTTTTCTTCTTCACAGCTCCTGGCAGCACTGAGTTCTCTCTGTGATTGCTGTTCTGTCTCTTCTGCTGGCCATTCGCAGACACCAACCGAGGCAAATCTTTGCAGATCTGCTCACACTCTGTTGGGTCTTTCATTTTCTCTTGAACATTGCTCTCTCTCCTAATTTTCTTTTTCTTCTTTTTCTTCTGGTGGTGCTCTACACAACCCTGACTCTGAYCCTGGCTGCAGCCCTGGGACAATGCAGGAAAAGCACTTTGCTTCAGAATATCCAYGGCTGACACGGCAGCCTCCTGGCACCTTTGCCACTCTTGGTCACTGTCCGTGTCACTGGAAAGGTAACAAGAGGGAAGGAAGTTGTGTTGCACTTTTGCCTTGAATTCACCCAAAAGTCAGACAGAGGAGTAATCTAAAGTGAGAACACACAATAAACACCCAGTGGCTTTGGGATTCCCACACCTACAGTTTGCATTTAAACAGTCTGAAGGCCAAGGCGTTCTTTACACACACTAGGAAGGGAAAGAAATCTCCCACAAACATTTCTAGCACTAAAAAAAGAAACAAAATKCTGGGCTAGTCAAATGCAAGACTCATAAATACACACTTCTCAGAAGCTTTCTATTCCCTTATGGGTGTCCCAGCTGCCTCTGAAATGTGGAGTGCAGCAGCATTTGAAGAGCAGAGCAGCTGCCACACCTCACCTGGAGCTCACTGGCCGCCTCCTCCTCGCTGCAGGGCAAGGCTCTGCTTTCCCACAGTCTCCAGGGACAGAGGAAGAGAAGAGACGGAAACCTAAAGTATGGAAAGGGGGATTTTAGGCACAGTACAAAACAGAGGTGGAAGCCATCAACTCCCATCTCCCAAAGCCTCGGTGCTGTTATTGTATTTCCACAGTGCCTGACAGCAATAATGTGAGACTGTGTGAGAGGACTTGGGGCACAGAGGTCAGAGCTGCAGAGCAACAGCCCTCACAAACACCAACAGAAATTCTTTTATTGCAAATGTTTATTAGTCAGCTAGTGATGGAGAGAATCTCACTTGTCATCAGTTAACAGTCACAAAACAGCCACAATGGCTGAGACTGGAACTCACCATCATCTTCAGAGTCAGACTGTGCCACCGAAGCCCGTGATGGTCCTGATGAGTCTTTCAAGACAGTGATGAAACTAAACAGAAAACCCCAGTCAGACTGTGGACAGGCTCATGCAAACTGATCTAATTTCTGGGAGACAAGACTCAAGGGAGATGTTGCATAGATCCTTTTTTGTTAGTGAGGTTGCCTCAGCTCTCTGCTTCCAGAGCAGACCAGGCCTGCTCTCCTCAGCAATGCAGGCCACAAGAATGGTTTAAAAACAGCATTTCTAAAGCCAGCTCTAAACACCAGGATTTCCAGTTCTCCAAATCAGAGGCATTCTGTGGGCACAACCCTGAATCAAGTACTGATTTAGGTTGTAAGAAAAATCAAAGGTTTTYCTGCCAACCTCTACATGATGCAAGTGCTAAGGCACCCAAATTCTTCTTCCCTCCCCATAAGACATTCACCACAGAGGCAAACGGAGACAAGCAGTGCTGCACAGAGAGTTTTGACCAGATGGGCACAGCACATCAGCAAGGTTAGTCACAGAATATTGGAAGCTTGCACTTTATACAGGAATGACAGAGAGATGTAGAATTTCCTGGGTTTAGCACACAAAAAYATCAGTRTAGMTGAYCYACAGAACAAATGTTTTAAGCCTTGCATGTCATTACCTGTCTAGGATGGCTCCCAATTTCTTTGCAACGTGTGCTCTGAACTCTGGAGTTGTCTGGAGCTCGTTGTCACCTTCCTCGCGGCCATTCACCTCACGCCCGTTTGAAATAAGAGCAATGATTATTTCTTTCGAGGCCAATAACAACTGGTCCTCTCACCCAAATGCTTAAAAAAGATATTAGTCTTTCCCAATTAAAGCATCATTTCTGATTATGGTTGGACTAATTCCACAAACAGAACTGGCCCTTTCAGTGTGAAGTATCACAAGGTATAAAGTATAAACAGCACATTAATTTTTTCTTCAGGGTAATACTAAATGTGAAACCAGAAACAAAAATACCTCCGGCTTGGCTGATCTTTAGGCTGCAATCGATCCTTTCTAAAGCCCCCTGAAAAGGAAGCAGCAAAGMCACTTTTAAAGACCTGCGGCCAGGACCTCTTTAAATCCCTTCAGGCACATGCTAGAGCATAAAAACAAGGCCTGAAAGACAACCCCAGCCCATCTTCGGTGGAGACCAGTTCTGAGGGGAAAGGGAAACTTCCCACGGCCCAGGCSTGCCGGGAAGGGGCTCTGGGCCGGGCTGGAGGCCGGGTATGACCCCTCTCAGTCCTGACACCGACACCGCGGCTGAGAGGAATGTCGGAACGCCGCTCCCCGCGGGTCAGGAGGAGCTCGGAGGGGCCACAGCGGAGCGGGGGGGATGGGAGAGGGGAGGGCACGCCGCAGCGGGGGAGCAGAGCCCAGCCCGTCCACCGCCCCTCACCGCAGACAGGCTCCGCCCGCACCGCCACCGCCGCCTGCGCGGTGCAGTCCCAGGCAGCCTCCCGGAACCGCGCGTCCGCTCCAGCGCCGCTGTCCGAGTCCGAGCCCGTGCCGCTGTCCGGACTCAGGCCGCCCCTGGGCGCCGCCATCTTGMGAGCGCGGGACACGCTGGGCGCTGTGGGACTGCCGCGGTGCATGCCGGGATCTGTAGTCGGCCGCATTGCACGCCGGAAGTTGTAGTCCGACACGGCACCCCCGACCCCAATTTCATAAACGCATCCTTGTTCTAATTAGCGTCTGGAGAGTAYGGTTCATATCTTTGGGGCTTGGTTAACTTCTTTATCGGCTCCTACACTGAGATGCCAAATTTTTGCTTCAATGCAGAAGCTGTGCTAAACTCTACTGCTTTACCGACTGGTTGGAAATGAGAGAGCTGCTTTGCTTGAGAGATTTTCACTGCCCGTGCAGGCAGGACTGCTCTGTGTGCTCCTCATGCCATCAGCACTATCACGTCACTACAGCTTCAGCTCAACTAGAAATTTTCTACTGTGACCCAACAACGTTTTTGGTGATTCCAGGTGGGCTTCTGGACGATCACTTTGCGGTGGGTTTTGCCAAACCAATGTGCTGTTGAAAGCAGTAGGAAGACTTAGTATAACTGTGTTTTTATCCTGCTGGACGCTTTCTGGCTTGCACCTTCCAACCTTCACACAAGAGCTGCACAGTCTAAGGCCACCTGTCAGCACACAGGCTAGTGACAATCTCCTTGAGCTCTTTCCGATGGGCTCCCTTGGCATTACCTTCCCTTCATTTCTTCACTATTCCCCCGTGAGGCTAACTTTCAGTGGGAGACCTTGGTTTAGGGTTCACCCATTCTCCACTGTGTAAAACAACAAGTAATTYTGAGCTGTTTTGTACGTGGCAGTCCTCAGGACTGGTGGGGTGCCCTCAGAGCTGGGGCAAACCCTTCAGCAGTGCTTTTTTGGGCAGGTCACCTCCTCTCCTTCCCTTTGGTCCCTGTGCCTCTGTGGTTTCTCAGAACTGTACAAACACCTTTATCAAGCTCTAAATACCTTTATCAAGCTCTCTGTTTCCATCCTGGAGATGTTCCTCAGCTCAGATTCCAGCACTCTGCACTCGTAAATAAACAATTTGTTTACCTTAAACTTCCTTCCTTCCCTTTCCGTCCTTCCTTCCTTTCTGCCTTCCTTCCTTTTCCTTCTCTCTCTTCCTTCCTTCTCTGTCCTCCCTTCCTGCTCGGGGCGCGCATTCGACACCAGCTCGGTGCTGTCCCCCAGGCCGCCGTTTGGACACGGCCCCGCGCCGCCCCCGGTGCTCGGAGCCGCGCACAGCCRGAGCTGCGGCCGCGGGGGTCGCGGCGGGGGCGGAGCAGCCCCGGCCGTTCGCCCCGGAGCCCCGGAGAGGTAACGAGCGGCCGCAGGGTGTGCGCGGGCTCGGGGCTGAGCAGGGCCCGCCGGGCAGCGCCGCCCGCCCGCCGCGGCCCCCCCGAGCCGCCGCCGCCGGTGCCGGTGGGGCGGGGGCCGCTCCCGGTGCTTCCGCCGGCCGCGCTTCCGGGCGGTCAGGTGACGGGGCCCGGCGGAGCGGCGGCTCGGCGCGGGCGCTGCGGGGAGCCCGGAGCCGCCGGTGAGCAGGGCAGGGCCGGGCCGGGCCGGGCCGGGCGGGGGGTGGCGGGGAGCGGGGCCGGGCGGCGGCTCCGGGGCACAGCCGAGCCCAGCAGGGCCGTGCCGGGCGCGGGGAGGCCGGAGCCGCCTGTGCCCGCTCCAGATGAGCGGGGCGGGGGCGCCGTGGGGTGGGATCCCCGGCCTCGCCCGGTGCCYCCGGAGCTGCAGCCGCGGCCCGGCGTTGCTGGCCGGGTTTTTCCCCGTCCTGGGGCCGCTGTTCCCGGTGTGGCGCTGTGCGGGGCCCGAGCCGCTGCCRGGAGCGGCGCTTCTGTCGCTACAGATGGGTCTGGCTCTGAGTATGTCGCGAGGCGTCAGCTGTTGGTACTTGACATATTTTGAGAATTTCTTATATATTAAGAATCTCTTATGACTTCTTAAATCCCGCCTGTTGTATATAATAACAGTGGTATTTGATATTTCACGTTTTGCTGCTAACCTGGTTAGCCAGGTACGTCTGTCTCACACGGCACTGCAGACAGGAAAACGCTCGGGCAGCATTACCCAACTGGTTATAGCAGTTCTCTTTGTTGGTTTTGGTTTGTTTTTTTTTTTTTCCCTTTGGACTTTGTGAGGTAAGAGGATAAAATCTTTGTTGACAGATTTTTCTTGGAGTCTACATTAAACCTTTATGGAATGGATAAAAAGAAGGCAATTACTTTAATCACCTGGGGTTTTTTATTGTTTGCATTTGCGAGGTACATGGGCTCTTTTAGTGTGCCCAAAACAGCCCTTCAGCTGGGCCTTTACCCTGGAAGCACTGACTGTAACACAGATGTGCATTGCAGAATCCCAATTAATGAAACGAGGCCAAGCAAGGGCACGTTGGGCTGCAAGGCAAATGGCTGGTTTTGCAAGAGCAAGTGATCACATGAATTCGTGTTTTGGGGCCACTCTACCGTAATACTAAAAAGCAGGTGCCCAGTGCTGCACAGCMTTTTCACATCACAGGAAGTGAAAAGATGAACTCGAGAAATGTTTTCAAGGAGTTAAAATGTAACATGTTTGGTGGAATAGAAAGAGTAAAAATGTAGTAAGAGATAATTATGTATTTAATGATTAACAGCAGGACAGTCATGTGTTTGCTAAGAACATCTRAAGTGACTGTCCAGAAGTCAGTGCACCTTCTTCCAGGCACTGTCAGCAATTTCCAGCTAAGGTTAMCTGGTTGTTGTACTTGAAGCCCAGGCAGTTGTAATATGTTAAGYATCAGATTTTTGTTAAACTTATGAGTGGGCATATTTATATAAACTTTGAGTACTACTCTCTCAGTAGTTTTAGATTTAGATAGGATTACCAATGTTAATTCCTTTTATAAAATTCATTAAGTATCAGAAAATGACACTGCCATTTTACTGATAAGAAAATAACCTGACAAGTTTTCTTTTTTATTTAAACTGCAAAAGGTTCAGGARCTAAATTAGAACTTGTTTCATAAACAAACTAGATTTGGATTATTTCAATTTCAGTAATCTTAGCTAAAGTAAGTTTCATTAGGAAAGAAATATGAAAAAGTATCTTTCCAATGGAGTTTATATCCAACAATGCTGTTTTTTTATTTCATTGTTACAGCAAAGAGGAGTAAACTTTGAGTTTTGTTAATAAACTAGCCAGACTCCTATATCCTCATCAGAATTTCTTCTCATTGCTCATGATAGAAGATTAAATACTTGAGATATCCTAATGTTGTCATGCTGTGAACATGTATTCCAGAACTGTTTTGTATAGGTGACATTAACTTCTAATTTATATTCCCTCTCTGCCTTTCCCAGATTGAATTAATGTTCACCTGCTCTTTCCAGCAGATTTTTTCTGTGTACTTTAACTTATGGAGAAAACTCCTCTAATCTGTTTTAAAGTGTTTTTCCCGTGTTTTTAGGGTTGGGCCAGTGTACTTTGGCAAATGCAGTCATAGTCCTTAGCTGAGTTCAGAAATGTGATCTTTGACAGTAGCTACTCAGCTTGTGCTTTCCTGGTGTGCAGTTGCCCCCAGTAGATTTACAGATGAAGGTTTTTTAAATATTTGAGGAAATTTGTTTCTTACTGGCTGTTAGTGAGATCTGCACCCAGCACATGGACATTCCCAGTCCCCTGYACTTATTTCTGTGGTGTTCCTCCTCTGCTCTCTGCTGTCACGACACGTTTGGGTCCTCTCAGAGTTCACCCTCTCATGCAGCTCCACTTCCATTCTTCACACTCCACCACACTTCTGTATTTATTTATAAGGAAGCCTGCTAGCAAATGAGTTTCTTGTTTCTTAACCGTTCATCTGCTGCCATTCTTCAATCTTGGATGCAGTAAATGTCAGTCATTTTCAGAACAAGCTGTTGGGATAACATAGAGATCATGATGTAAAGGAAATAAACAGCCAATCTAGATGGCTTTTATGAAACAAAGATTGTGTTTTCCTGTAAATATGTAGAGATAAAAGAAGTAAGAAAAAGACAAGATCTCTGAATGCCTGCWGTTAGGTATCAGCTGATTTTCGTATCCTTTCACTTGTTTTGTTTGCTGCTCATCATGCCTCCAGGGCTGATTTGGAGACCTGATCTAAAGGGCAAGGATGTAGCAAACCTCACTGGCATCTCTCAAATGTGTTTACTTAACCCCARAAGTCACGTTTTGTCCCAGTGTGCTCACAGTCTTCCTCCTGAACTCTTAAAGCAAAATGAAAATGGGGTTGGTTTGGCCTGTTGTGTTGGTTGTTGATTTTTTTAGTTTGTGATTTGCTTATGTTTTATTGGGGTTTTTTCTTTAGAGACTTTTGTCTCAGAGTTTAAGTAGTTTGAGTGACTGTTCAAYAATTTTGAGCTCATTCTGCACTCAGAACCAGTTCCATTTGCAGTTGAATTCCTACTTTAGGATTCACAKTACATTCACAAGCAACACAATATATGATTATCAAATGTAAATTTAGCCATTTAAAACTGTTTCATGTTTGCTTCTTTGTACATGTGCAGATGTGCAGAGCCCAGCAGCACTTTTTACAGACCCAGTTTTGCTAAATGGTATTCCAGGGACAACACCAAATGTTAGAGAAGGCTTTTCACAATAAGAGTTATTATTTTTACTGTAATGTTTTGATATATTTTTAGTATTTTAAATCCAAATAGGTCACTGGGCCCCATCAGYCAATGGACATATACTTAGGTCATTCCTTAATCTATACTGGGCATCCTCTCCTTTCTCTAGGAGAGGAGGTTCAGTGCCTGTTGCATTACAGGGGTCATTTTAATCTTTTTCTGTCTCAGCCATCTTTATTCGATTTCATTATTGATATTTATCTGGATTTCTCTATCATCCCTCTTCATAATGTTTTATTTATTTATTGTAGTTACTAAAACCTGAGGGYTTTTTAAAGTGAGCTTTTGTGGAGATACRGATTTATCTTTTTGACAAGTCTCCAGATTAATTTTGTTAAATATATGGAATTTAATTTGGAAAAAGGGCCTTTTTTCCACATTGGTATTAGGGACACAGWATTTATTTATTTGCCTCATGTACACATCCTTTCCTTGTGATATGTGTCATGGTATGAGCCAGATGTTTCTTGTAACCATTCCATAAAGGGATGCTGTATTGTGTGTTGAATTCCTTAATTTTAAGGAGGTTTTCTCAGTTTTTATATTAATATGTATAGGTGCAAGYTGATAAGTTTTCTCTTAAACTACTGAGCAAGACAGGCTGGAGATTGTGGTAGTAAGGATGTGTGAAAAATCCAAGTGTCTTTGGCATATAGTTTGTGGGTTGGCAGCATTTCCATCTGCCTTGATGTAACACGAATTTTAATTTTGTACAATGAGCTTAGTGTAAATGGAGTCATGGTGTGAAATGCTGRGAGTCAGCACTGCTGAAAGCAGCGTATGTTGAAGTGCAGCATCTGTGAATACAAATCTGCCCTTCTGGGACACTGTACAAAATGATGTAACTGAGTGAAAAAGCTCTGCAGAAATAGATTTCACCTGCTGTAACTGAGTCCTTGCTGTGGCAGTTCACAAGGTTTGTGTGAGATGCTTTCCTGACTGTGCAGTGGGATTGTATTGTATAAAAAAGCTGTTGGCAATAACAGCTGGAGATCCTGAGGCTTTACTTTGCTGTCCTGCACCTGGCTGCAGCCTCTACAAAGAGGCAAAACTAAGGAAAGCTTTTAGTGCTTGGGGGGTAAGTTTGCAAAGAAATTATCTTCTGAAAAATTCAGTTTGTCCTTTAAAAATGCTTCACTGTTTGTACTCTTGCTAAAAGTTCACCTGTTGGTTTCTCACAGCCTTATCTAAGTATTTATGTTCTTGCAGCATCAACATGATGTAAGAATTTCATGAGAAGCACAGTGGAATATTTTATACTTTTTTGTTTTAGTGAATTRATTTCTGTAGCTACTGAAACRCTTAGTTCCTGAATTAAAAATCTTTCACTGGTAAAAGTGTTTCTAGAAATGTAAATGCCTTGTGCTGAGTCTCATGTGGAATTTACCTATCAAGGAATTACACTGTAGAGGTTGTTGCTACTGGAATAAAATAAATGCTCTTCTTTGGTAAACATGATTATGTTAATGAGAGGTGAAAGCAYGGAAATAAAATTAAAGCACATTAAGGTTAATTTTTTAATACTTCTGCATTACTGCYTTACTAGTAGATCAGAAATGTTTCATAGTTTGAATGTACCAGGAATGTTTGATGGTCGATGTACTGCTCAGGAGACAACTGAAGTTGTTAGCCACCTCTGCTTGCCATTAYTGTCATTAATATTCTAAACTAATGAATGCTGAACTTAAAAGTGTTCAGGTCTGTGTTGTCAGACTGTTCAAACTGAATTATTTCCTGATTAAATTCTGCTTCAGCCTGCACTCACAGTTATAAGTTGTGTTGAATTTTGGAAGAGCATGTATRACTAGGTGAGCTCATTCTCCTTGCAGCAAATGGCATTTATGAGAAAATACAGAGGGGTTGTTTTGGCTGTGGATGCTTATCAGTAACAGTAAAATACAGGTCACACATCAGCCAGGTCATACTATGGGACTGTAAAGTAGCTTAGTTTCTAAAAAAAGATCCCTCTTGGCTACGTTAAACTAAAACCATCAACAACGGGATTCAAGAGCTTCTTAGATAAATCACTACCAGTTTGGAATGGGACCAGAATGCAATGTTACAATGCCAACAAGTTGTTTGTGTTTGTTTGTTTTTTTCCCTTTCTCACTGCCAGGATTCCAACAGGAAAATTTTCTTGACCTTGTCTGGGTAGTTCTTGAGGATGGCAAGCAAAGGATCCACRGCTTCTGCATCAACAAAGAGCTCCAGTACTGGAGGGACCAGTGGCAGCAGCAGCAGTAATGGTGCTGGGGACAGCACSAACCAGGACAACACTTTTGAATGTAACATCTGTCTAGACACTGCCAAGGATGCAGTTATCAGCTTGTGTGGGCACCTCTTCTGGTAAGTGCTGCAGCCCCACACATCAGCCACAACACCATCTATCCCATCCCATAAAAACCTGTCATGTTTGGCATTGTAGAGGAGGGACCATGGCTTTGGTTTGGAAGCTTGGCTTTGCTCCTCAGCTGTTTTTCTTTGCTTGTGTCCCAGGGAGTGGGTTTTCTGTGTCTTAAACTGCCTGTACTTCTGGGTTATTGTGTAAAAGCAAACAAGCAGCCCCACACAGACAGTTCACTGCTCATTGACACTGTTTGGTTATGGGGTTATTTGTGTTGTCTGGCCTAGCAGAGATATCTTCTTTAAGCTTAAATTCCTTTCTAACCTCTGCATACCTAAACCTGGATATGAATCTAATTTCTGGAGGCCACATTGTAGTTTTTTTCTATAAGCTTGCTCCTTTTTCCTTTGAAACCACACCAAAAAGGAAAAAAATAGGCAATAAACTTTTACATATGGGCTGTTTTTCTTTTTGCATGATATTGCACTTGTGATAGGAACTTTCTGGTTTTTGATCTGACTTGGAAATAATGTATGGCACAGATATAATACATGTGCAGCATTTCTGATGTGTATAACCTGATTTGAATATACCCTTTCCTTAAATGTTAAGAAGTTAAGGATTGACATGGCCAAATGTGGAGTGTTGGGGTTTGTTTTACACAGTGGGCTAAATCTTTAATAAAAAGAAGCCTGAAAGTGCTTTTCTTCAGTGTAAATGTACATAGCATCTGAAAATCCAGATTTTTATTTGAAGAGATGGAAAATCACTGGCTGAGGGCGTGTTAAGATAAAATAAGATTAAATTATTGCACAAAAGGATTTGGAAGAATAGAACCTTAAAAATAGCATGTGTCTTATCTGAGTGGTGTTCTTGAAACCATTTTGAAAGCAAATGGCTGTTAAGCAGTTTTATCTTGGAGCTTGCTTGTTTGTTTTTGACCTTTTTTTAATTTGCCATATTAATTTAATCTGTATAATGGGAATTTCTCTGCCCTGAGGAACCGAGTCTGATCCCAATAGCTGACCCTGCTCTGAGCATCAGGTTGGACTAGAGACTACCTGAGRTACCATCCAKYCTGAGTTAYTCCATAATTCTGTGAATGTGGCTRAAGTTTCAGATCAATCTTCTAAGATCCCAAAGTCTCTTTACTGACATCTTGCTCATTTGCATCTTGGTTCAGGGATATCTTGTCATGGTATCAGAAGAGAAAATTTGTACAATAAACCCTAAGATTAATGCAATCTCTGGACCCTTGGCACGGATGAGGACCCAGGAATGGGAGATGCACAGAACCACATCAGCAATTTAGATTGTGTAACCTGAAAAAAACCCAGTGGAGATCAGTCTTGGGCYGTGCTTTCAAAAATTATTTTAATGGGTGGCTACAGAACTGGCCCAGCTGCATTCCAGGATTCTGTTGTCACAAAGCTGTGCTATCCCTGTACATTGCACATTTGTCATATCCAGTTCAGGAACTAATTCTATTTTCCTCTCTTTTTCTGCTCTGTGAACAAATTGTCCTGGGAATGCTCACAGTTGGCCTTGTTTACACCAGGTAAGACAGGTTTTCTTTTATTTTGTCTTTCATCAGCTCCTGTTACTCAATAAAACCCTTGGTTCTCTGGAGTATCSCCCTCTCTTCAAAGGTGCTTTTCTCTCCAGGGCAATCATAACATGTTCATGCAGCTTCATGTGCAACACCTTGCAAACTGCTCTTTGAGCAACAAGAAAACTTAGATTCTGTTCCACTTGCCTCCCACATYTGAGTGTCTTAAGCCCTGAGTAATTCCAGTTTTGGTGCAATTGCTGTTGGAGCTTGCAGGGGTTGAGTTTGCAGGTTTAAGTGCTGAGTGYACTTCTCTTACCATTATAGAAAAGGTGGATGACAGGAGGGTATCTGTACAGCTCTGGCCCTCTGCAGGACTGCTGGTATTCTTTATTTCTGATTTTCCTCCAGTGCAGATCTGAATGTGTACACATCAGCAAGTGGATCCTACCAGAACAACAGCCAAAGTGCCAACTCCATTTTGGGGAGTACTTGGCACTTACTAAAACGTTTTGCTCTARACTTTTGTGAGAAATTGCTGAAGTCTTTCTGCCTGGCTGCAAATGATTTTCATAGTTGTTTTCATGGTGTTTTACTAGTTTTCTTAAATTTTCCTTTGTTTCAGTGGCTAGAGACCAGGCCAAACAGACAAGTGTGTCCTGTATGCAAAGCAGGAATCAGTCGAGATAAAGTTATTCCTCTGTATGGAAGAGGCAGCACTGGGCAGCAGGACCCCAGGTAAGAAACCTAAATGCAACTATTTTTGTTTGAAAATTAAAGATGAAATTTTAGGGCTGTAAGAATAAACTGTTGAAATGCTGGATTCACAATTCTAAATACTTTGTGACAAGATGTAGAACTGACATTTCTATCAAATATTTCTGGCTTTTTCGGGGGCCTGGGTTTGCACACATTATTTCTTGTTCAAGTGGCAATTAATTCTAATTTGAATCGAGTGCTAATTATCACTTACAAGTGGCAGGTTGCAATGATTGTTATCTCACTGGAGAAGCTTAAATTAAATGTTCATGTCCTCAGTTTTTAACCTTAGCAGTGGGTATTTGTTACTCAAAAGCTCAGCATTAATTCAGTGATGTGCTGCTGAAGGTCCAAAGCTGTGTGGCTGACTCTCTCACACGCTGCTCCAGCTCTGCTGGATGGCCCCAGGACTCTGTGTTTTGTGGTTGTTCTGCCTTATTAGCCAGTTAATGCAGATATTGTTGTCACATGTCYTTGCACTTGAGCTAACTTCACAACTTCCTGCAGAGAGAAAACTCCACCACGACCCCAAGGACAGAGACCTGAACCAGAGAACAGAGGGGTAAGTGAAGAAACAAGTTCAAGTGGTTTGGTTGTTTTTATTGATGGTGGTATTTATTCATCCTGGAGGGCATAATGTGTGTGAGAGATCCTGCACRAGGATCCTGCAGCTCAGCTTACACATCCTGCTCTTCCCCAGTTGGTTGCTCATGAATCATTGATAGCTGTGGTGTGGCACAGAGCTCCATTCCTGTGGTGCTCCTYAGCATCCCAAAGAACAGACCAACTTGGCTCATGCTTCATGAACACAGCCCAGTGTGCTATGACTGGAAATGCCCTTCATACTTGATTGTTCTCTGTGTTTACATACAAGGAACACTTTGCTTTGAAAATTCTTTGTGAAAGTGTATTTCTGTCAAAATATACGCGTCACTGAAATATGTAATCCATGTATGAACTTAGATTTTTGGCACTGACAGCCACTTTTCTGATTTCTATGGGATGTTACTGCACCATGGCATTCCAAGCAAGAGAAGGTCAATATCGATTGTGTTAATTTGAAGAGGGATCTGTGGTTTTGTTGAGGAGATTACATAGGGTGAACATAAACAGCAGCTGGCACAGATGGAGCAGACAGGGAGTGGGCGTAGGACAGACCGCAGTGTTCCTCAGCACGGTGACAGCAGCATGACCTGATGGAACAATGGCACATTTCCATGGAACTCAGCCTGTGCTCCTTGGAGAGGATTGTCTCCCTTGTGCCTCCAGCAAACAACTCTGCTGTCTGTGATTAAGGTGCATTTCTGTATTGAATACATTGGGAGCTCAGCTGTTCTCTTCCACTAGGGCATTGCTGCTGTATTAAATCAGCTCCTGTACCTTGTTTGAACCTTTCAGCTGTAAGTCASAGGGATGTGGAATGAAGGCAGAGCAGTTGTGATGCTGCTTCCCTGATACCTACAGACCCTGTATCTGCTATTCAGAGTTTTGCTGTCCCTCAGAGTTAGTGGCAAAATGCTTGMGAAGAGCATAATGTAAAGATTAACTCTTCAAATCAAGGCTCCATCCAGAAATGTTTGACTTTTATTRGATGAGTAAAATCACCTTTGTCCTCCCATGGTGGGTGGTGATAAACCAGAGGTTTTAGAATTGATGTCAATGTTTCAGTTCTGAGGTGAGAGGACAGATTGCTGGATTACAGARCTGTGAGCTCTCCACAGTTCTTAGACACAACACATCCCCTTAGATTCATGCAAACAGCTCAATGCTTCTGCACAGCAGGATTCATCTCAATTCAGAAGACTTACCTTTTGACTTGATGTGGTATTTTAGTCTGGATCCTGGGTCAGTGTTATTGTTATTATTAACTTCATTTTTTCCTCCTTTTCCTTATGTCTTGCATTCCTGCCCCACCTCAATTTGAGTCCTCCTGGTAAACTTTCTTTTCAAATGCTCTATGCATCTCACTGGCAATTTATCACTTTGGTGAGTGTTTAAATGATGTGCATGTATCACAAAAATCAATTTAGATTATTTTTTAAAATACCTTTCTTACATGGCTAATAGCCATTAACACACAATACATTGTTGAGGCATTCTAAATAGACTTGGTTGTGGTTTTTTTGATACATTAGCAGATAGCTACTGCTGTAAGTCCAGAAAGGTTACAGAAACACTTTTGTTAATTTGTTGCCCTSAGGCAAGAACTGAAGTTGCTAGTTTTCATTTTCTCAAACCTTTTGGTTGCTTGGACAAATTTGCTACTGTTTTAAACCCTGGAGAGCTAAGGGAATATTTACAGAGGTGTGTCAGACTGAAAATTTCCAGACAGCATGACCCTCTTTCAGCCCTAGAAAAAACAGTGAGAGGGAATGTCTGCACTTCACAAAATACTCTGAAATAGGTTTTAAATGATTGGTACCTTTTTTTTGTCTTCTGTTCTTTGTTCCCCACAGGGATTCCAGGGCTTTGGGTTTGGYGATGGTGGCTTCCAGATGTCATTTGGAATTGGGGCATTTCCCTTTGGTATATTTGCAACAGCCTTCAACATAAATGATGGGCGACCTCCCCCAGGTACTACRGATCCTTCTCCTGTCCTGTCACAAACAGACATTTTGCAAACTTGGAAACAAATAACCTGCTAAATGACAAAATCTTCTGAACAGTAACTAGTGTTGTCAATAGAAACACATAATGAGGGCAAACACTCAGTGAGAACATGGTCTGGGGCTGACAYATTTTGTACACAGGCTTGTAAAAARCCCGCAAGTTTGTCACTTCCATATAATTTGCTGAAAGCCCTCCTGGGAGAACAGTGACTCAGGAGARGAACAGTAGCACTGAAGGCTTCTCTCCTTTAATTCAGATGTCTCCTCTGGTACACCAGCAAACTCCTTCTAAAAAAATGAGAAAAAATGGACTGGAGTTTCTAATAATAAAAAAACGAGTCATTAGGGGTGTATCAAGGAGACCCAGATTTTAAAAACAGCAGGAAAGTACCATTTCCTGAAAGWTGAGAAGGAAAAATTTAAACTGGTGCTCTGTACCACAAAAAAATGAATGCAAAGATTGTTCATTTTTCAGAAATTTATCCCTGAGATAGACATCTATATTCCAGTGAAATTACTTTACGTTTTTGATTAACAAAAAACAGTTGGGCTACTCTAAGTGGTGACCTTGCTCTCTAAGAATTAAGTAATCCCTAGAGAACCTCCTCCCCATCTTCACTGCAGACAAWCTCAATCTGTTTTGAACAAGAACACCAACTGCCCAGGGTTTTGTAGACTTTCTCTGTGAAAGGTTATAACTGGCAAATCTTCCAGTGTGTCATATGGCACAGGAATTATGTGGAACAAACTCATTCTTCATGTCACACCAGTGTTGCCATGGTCCTGTGCTCTCCTTGGGTCAAATTACTTCCCTATTAACTATAGTTCAGTGTCCCCTGAAGATCTGGTGGGAGGTGGGACTGAGCTGAGTAGTCCTTTGTTCTGACAAGTACAAAGCCTGTGCAGCTGACCAAGGCTGAGGATAGGAAATAGTAACCTTCTCACCAAGCATATTCTTAGCATATTCTTTCAAGTTATGAATATACTATATTCAAAATATACATGATCCCAGAGAAAAGGAAGGAACTGAACTGTTATTTTTTTTTACTTCCTGTTTTCCAGCTGTTCCAGGGACTCCTCAATATGTGGATGAGCAGTTCCTTTCCCGCCTCTTCCTGTTTGTGGCACTGGTGATAATGTTCTGGCTGTTGATTGCATAAGTCTTTTCCATTATTCTATATATTCATGACCAACAAGGCCACTGAAACAGTTACAAACTGCATCCCCATCCCATTTTAAACCTCTTGGTGTCTGGTTCCATAGCGAACTATGGGCTTCAGGAATTGGTGGTACCACAGCACAATGAGGAATCTCACATTTTGCACCAGAGTTGGAAATTAAACATTGGTTAAAAAGTGTATTTCAGCTCAGATATCTTGTACAACAGGTTTCTGCCACAAACCACAGGCCTAGCATTGAGCTGTGCTCCAAAAGGGAGTGCTGCTTTGAAATCCTGTGCCAATCAGTGACACAAGGGTGTCAGGTCTGTGGGACAGACAGTTATCCCAAGGTAGACTGGGCAGGTAAGGAAACTTCTCCAGTGTGACCAGTATCTCCTGCTTTGCAACCACAATGGATCTGCCAGAGCTGCAGATGTTATTTAATATCTCCATCAACATCTGACCTCCAGGAAATCATCTGCAGCACTGCTGAGACTTTCTGGGGCACAGCACGTGATGCAAACGGAACCAGCTCTGGAGACTGGTTTCTTTTCCTGCTGTTTTTTCCCAGCGTGATGGAAAACCCTTCCTGATGGTTCTGATGGCTGTTGGAAGAAGGGATACAAATTTATGCTGCAATTTTTTTTAAGCCTGAGCATGCTGGAGCCAGACACTGGAAGATTCTCTGGCTGTGGAGCCAGRTGGGGCTGCTGGAGCCAGCCCAGTTCCTCCCTGACAGTGTTGTCTTCCCGGGCTCTGTGGCTGCACTGGTGGATAATCCCCTCCCAACCTCGTCACTGTAGCGACAGTTATCCTTCCCGAGCCTTTGAGACTTTCTACACAAGGTCATGTACTCCAAATAAAATCCTATTACAGATCTGAGATCAGCTTGTTTGGGGAGAGAAACAAAAGGCATCTTTACGTGAGTTTTGAGGTTAAACTTGTCATACTGTAAAATTACACAGGAGGAGAAATGAGATCCTGCCTTTGCCAGCACATGCCCAGTAGGGAATATTTGGAAGACCTTCTCTCTGCAGGTGCACACAGACCTTCTGCAATGCCACAGCAGAACAGCTACAGCAAGAGTCTCTGCAGTATCTACCAAAGATTTTAATTTGAAGTGCTGGAGGAGACCACAACCATTAATGTGCTGAGGGGATATTTCAGAAGGTGAGCACTCTGTAGCCGCTTTGGAATCCTGTTGGGTATTCAGCTTTAAAGAGTACTCCTGAKGTATTTGTGTAGATTCCTTCGAAACAGATACAAGAGATTCCCTAGCAAGATGAACAGTTCATATTTCTCTGACCAGGCAATTCCATTTTTTTTCTCTTACTGTTTTTAGATTATTTTGATTCAGGATGCTTGTAGTCATAATGATTTCCTGCAAGATGAATGTTGTGACTTCCCTGGMAGTAGACAGAATACTGACAAACAAATCAATTAATAGAAACTTTGTTTCAATAGCTTGGGGTTTTCTAGTGTATGGAAGAGTTTCCTGGGCAGGACACCTTTAATTAATTGTTGTAGAAATTTATTTATGTAATTATAAACTGTTTGCTTTTAGTGTCAAGACAGAGGATGAYTGAAGTTTAACTTGCCTACCTCCAAAATTCCATCTGGCAAGTAGAATGTTGCAAAGCTTTTGCAGTGTTTTGTCACGTCAGATTTACACCTGACTCGATGGTAATCTGACAGAATAWTTTGCTCAACTATTTATAGTTGAGGTGGTGCTTCAGCTTTTTTTGTGCAACACTTAGAAGCTGAACTTCGGCATAGGGTTCTTCTCAGTGCTGAACTTGGTAATTGGGGCCCTTCCTGGAGAAAGGCTGTTTCTGTTTGGTTGTCCTGCAATGTCGCAGCTTTGGGTTCCTCTCCTGCGTAGTCAGCACCACCTGCTGATGGGAAGGGAAGGTTCATGTGATGGTAAGGGATGGATTCCTTCTCCTCTTTGTACGGAGAAACTCGATGCTGAGAGGTTATGCAGGAGGAGCARGGTATCCCTTTGAAGCCTTTATCCCATAAAGAGGATAGAGAAGTGACTGCAATAGATTCAAGAGGTATTGAAACGTATTTGCGTAATTTTAAAATACAGAATTTTAATGGATCGAGGGGACTTCCATCTAAGAGTGAGAGAGATAATGGTTTAAGASAAGGCTGCAGAAAGGTGATCGAGAGCTCTTATTTTCCGGCAATTCAAGGATGAAATGGTCTAAAAGTGTTAACGCTTGGTTCCCCCTTTCCCTGGTGTGCTTTTGTATGTACCCCTGCCCCGCACCCCTACCGCACACGGCCCGGACGGCTCGGTTAGTGCGTTACCGTCCCTCCTCACTAATTTTCACTGTTGTGAAAGTGATTTAGAATTAAAGAATGGTTTTACATTGAGCCGAGTGCGCCGTTCCTTTGCGCTGCGGCGGGGCCGGGAGCGCGGGGAGGGGCGGGGCCGCGGCTGCCGTGGCACGTGCGGGGCGGGGCCGCGCTGCCATTGGCTCCCGGCGCGGAAGGGGCGGGACGGCCCGTGGGGGGCAGCGCGGCGATTGGCGGGGGCGCGGGCAGGACGATGCGGATTGGTCCCCGCGCGGCGGGGGCGGGGCGCGGTGCCGGGAGGCGGGCCCAGGTGCGGCGGGACCCGCTGGCGTCGGGCGGGCGCGGCGGCGGGCGCGGGATGGAGGCGCTGCCAGGTGAGCTCGGGCCGGGCGGGCCGCGCCTTGGCGGGAGGGGCCGCCCTCCGCCACCCTGGGGCGGGCACGCGTACGTGAGGCCGCGGCTCCCGTCCCGTCCCGTCCCGTTAAGCGGCCGCCGGTGCATCAGCGGTGGCGCGGCGCGGCCCCTGCCGGGCTCGACGGAGCCGCTGCCTTCTGAGCCCACGCCCCGGCCGGACGTCAGTCCATGGCCGGGAGCGGTGTGCAGCCGGGCCGCGGCTCCCTCCAGCGGGTAGCCCCGCCGGTTGGAGGCCACACGCGCGGCCCGGGGCATTCTCGAGGGTCCCCTTGGCCCCGGTGCCRCGAGATCGCAGGACGGCGATGGGAGATGCGGATCGTCCCGCACCGAGGGGCCGCGGCCGGCACGGGGTCCCGCAGCGCAGGCTGCCCGCGGGGCCCGCCGCTCCCACTCACCCCGGCCCCGCTGTCGTGCTCGAGGTCCCGCGGTGCCCCCGAGGTTCGGCCGGTGCCCGCCGGGGGCCACCGTGGCTGCTCCTCGCTGGCCGCCTCTGACACATTCCTCCCATCCTSGGGGATTCGACAGACCTGTTAAATGGGTTATGTCCGCTTGCCTTCCCTTCGCACTGTTTCCTGCTCTGTTTTGTTCATTTCCGTCGTTTCTCCTGGATACCGAAACAATTCCAGTCGGATTTAGGACTGTTCGTTTCTGTTCGTGGGCTTATCAGCCTTCCTGGGGACACTWAAACTGGTGTAGCACTACAACTGAGAGTAGGTGACTGCTTCGTGGAGTTGACAAGCTGATGGGTCAAGTTCTGTACGATGGTTGGCAAGGAATATGTTGCTTTTAGTTAGCTGTGGCATAGTCGTTAGTCTTTAAATGTCTTTAATAGGATCCACAGACCATTTTGACACGTGTGTCTTGTGCTGGTGACAATGAATGGGAGGGGATGGAAGTGCAGAATGTTTGGTTTGCAGTGTTTTTGGCCTGCAGCTATTCCATAARTTCAGCTGACTTCCAGGGCTTGCCCTTCTTGCAGAGGAGAGCATTGGCTGCCTGAGCACCSAGACACAGGCACACGTGGCTTTCACTTTTATTCCCAAGCCCATTTGGAGCACTGAAAAACCATTTGCTTTATAGAACAACACAGGTAGTGTCAGGTTTTTCCGAGGTTCTCCCAACCCTTACTCTGCWGTGCAGGTCTGAGTTCAGATGGGATTCTCTGGATTAGCAGGAGGGCACAGAGGCAGGTGCTCCAGGGGTGGAGCTGATGCACTTTGGGACTGAAGCAGCAATTTGCACCACTGAAGGAAGCCTTTGAGCCCTACAGGTTGTATGGAGACCTTTCTGGGTACGGCTGCTCTGCTGGTGACAGAGGTGCTTGTGGCTGAGCAACAAGTGGTTTTTTTCCTGAAATAGCAGTTCATGTAAAAAGTGCCAGATCTTCACCKTGGTTAATTTTAAACACTGTCGTTGACAGTGGGGTAAAAGTGCACAGAAAGCTGATGGCTTCTGTTATGTGTAACTTAAAGGAACTTAACTGTGGTATCAACTTGCCTAAGCAGCCTACCAAGTTGTAACATTCTTTGGAAAATGGAAGCCCGTGGTTTGTGGTTTTCATTCTCTAAGTGCACCTCTTTCCTTATGCAACTTTATTGCATGCAAACTGTTGGTAGCAKGAAGAAACAGGTTTGAGATCTGCTYAGGTCTGTGACCTATTCCTTGTGCCATCCTGTGCTGAACTAAGATTCTTGACTCTTTAATATGCCTGCACTGCCCTTGGGATTTTGGACAGCGTTTATCTGTGTGCCAAATGTTCTTTGTGCACAAGCTTTCATTCTGTTTTCCTAGCTTGCTTGCATCTAAGTAACCAGCTCTCTCTGGGGCTTTCTGGCAGTTCTAGCAGAAACTGTTATAGCTCTATTATRACTATTATAAGTATTTTCTGAAAGGGCAGTAAGCCAGTAGCATCACTCGCTCTCCCTAAGTCTGACAGTAGTCTGGTGTTGGCTGTACAGTCTCTATGGGAATATTCATTCAAGAGTGTAATTCCTTCCTGGTAGTCTAGTTGTTCTCTACTGAATAMAGTTTGCCTTTCCTTTCTTTCAGTTCTGGGAAATCCAGTTAATTATACAAATGAGAGCAAACGCTATGTGCTGAGTCAGTGGTGTGGGGGAAGCAGCAGTGTGGCTTCCTGGCCTAGCATGGTTTTCTGTGGGAATTGTACTAGACCAGTGTTACCTTCCTGAAATCTCTGCTCTGGCAGAGMTGTAACTGAGCTGTTTTATGTGAAAAGTCCTATTTCTTTCTTCTGCAAYGTGAAGGAGCAGATGTCATATCTGGAGAAAAAAAAATATATATAAGATGTCAGAGTTTGATTTGGGAACTCCCAGTCTGGGGTTACAGACAGCCTGTAGCCTTCCATGTGGGACAGCTTTCCTGTCAGTCACYTAATTTAAGGCTGYTCTTTATGAAGAATGTAACAATCTKTGTTTGCTCTGGTGTAAACTGGTTGCTGTTTGTCMCGTTGTTGCTGCATGCAGGTGAAGAAGTCTGGAGATGTCTGGGATGCGGGGACAGCATTGCTGCTGGGCAGCGCCTCCACAAGACTGTCAATGAAGCCTGGCACATYTCCTGTTTCAGGTAGGTAAAGCTTTAGCCTGTTGAACCCTCCTTGTGCTGCTCCACGTTGGGACGTGGTGGTGAAGTCCCCACGTGAACCAGGAATTCCTGTGGTGATCTCTGTGCCTGACCTGTTCCAAACTCTTGTTTGTGGCCGTACCTTGGGGACCACGTCCAGTCCCAACAGCAGCTGACACTGCCTGGCAGAGCGTGGCTGCGCTGACGCAAACGGGATACAGATAAAGWGCAAATAAAAGCTCTGATTTACTGCTGGTGGCAGAAGCCATGGATTGCATGTTTGCCTTCTGCAGCATTCCAAAGCAGTGCCAGGCAATTTGCACAGCCTGGTGCTTTTTCCATATGTGGTAGGTGCAAGGGTGTTATCAGGGTGCTGATAGAGAGGAGGRAAGGGAGAGAGATCTTGCCTTTTGCTTTCTCTCCTTTTTGGACTCTTAAGACAGACAAACTTATGAAATCTCTTGGATGATGTTGCTGTGAGCAAGGGCAATAAAGGATGTGTGCCATGCTTTCTCCTGGTGGAAGGCATAATGCCTCTTGTTGGTGTCCCATGAATACTCAGTCCAGTTTTCATGCTCCACAATCACATTTCTGAAGGGGCCTATATTTCTGGAGGAGTTGAGTACCTGCAGCTTCTGCTGGCTTCTGTGTTGGCTTGAATATGGAGATRCTAATGCTTTGGATTCTGTCAAAGAAAATGGGGGGAAAGGAAGCCAAAGTGTGGCTTTGGAGGAATGTTTTTGTGCCAAAATAAGCATCTATTGCCCTTGTTTAAAGAACAAAAAAAGCCTCAWCAAAATACCCCAACTTTGTTGAAGTGAGGATTGTGGTTACTGGTACATTTTACAAAAAGAAAGCAGCAGCTCATGCTGCCAAAGCAGTGCAGGCTCAGTTGACTTGGAAAATGCTGTTGCAATGACACATTAATAATTACAATTTAAGTTTGATAGCATGACAAATCCCAATATTTTTTATTTCTGTTGGTTTTAGTGTTCATGTTTAGCTGCACTGAAGCAGCTTTTCTTAATCCTGGTTTTCTTTCTCCCTGAAGTATCCTGTTGTTGAGCTTCCCTAGATGTGCCTGTAGCCAAAACCAAAGCTGTATGTTGGCAAGTCCGTCTCTCTTGCCATTGAATGTATTTCTCTTGAGGGTCTTGATTTGCAAATGCCTTGGTGCTTCTTGCTAYTGGGGCTGTTGAGGTGAGGAACAGCTGAGCTGGAAGCAAATCCTGCCTTTGGGACACTTTACAGAGAATTTGATATTACAGATTATATTGTATAATGGAGGTTTGTTTGTTGGATCTGGGCTGGTTTGTTTTATACAGTGAGGACACCGACTTTTCTTTGAGCTGTTAATAACTTGTTGCATTTGCTGATGCCCTTCTTGTGCTCTGTGCTTTTGGTGAGCTCCAGCACCCACTGAGGCTGCCATGCTCAGTGAACAGTTGGAACCTGCAGTAAAGGAAGCTGTCCTTCCCTTTTTCCTAGTTCCAGGGTAGGACTGGACATGAAAACAAGTTTCCAGTTCGCACTGTGTTCCTCCTTTTCTTCTGCTGTCCCTAAACCATGCTGAGCAGCAGTCTTGTGCCTGATATCCCAAAGCCAAACTTTAAAAAGCCTCCAAGGGTAGGAGGCTTTGGCAGTTGGTAGCTGTGAGTTCCGGCAGCTCTTGTGGAGTGTTTTTTACAGTCTTCCTGTGGATTAGCTGACTCCCTGGCCTGGCACATAATTTCTCTAATGCTGATTGGCACTGCTCCAGCCTCGTTAGCTCTGTTTATTCTTGGTCAGGCTTGGCGCTGGCAGGAGCTGACGTACATGAGCGTCTCTGAGGATTTGAGTTTTTGTCACTTCCCTCCTTCCTCAGGCTGCATRTACAGGAGCTTTGTCTCTGTAACCTGCGTTTTCTCTGCTGCGGCTTGAGGGAAGAGCAAATCCCTGTTTGTATATCTTGGATATTTTAAACCCTTCTYTGGCCAGCTGGTCCTTAGGCTTGAATTGATGGGTTGGATCTGGCTGAAGAAGTTTCTTAGATGTTTCTGTCACCGTGTCTGTTGTGAATTAACTCTGAATGTACTTTTG